GGCTGGAGCCAGTGATGGCCCGGGTGACGGCCTAAGAATGCGTTATCCATCAGCAGTATCAGAGTGGCACGGATCCCCATTGAGAACAGTGGACAGGGTGATGTAAATCCAAGTGCCGGAGCAGCGACTGTTCTGTCAAGAAAATGGGGAAAAAATGGGTGCCTGTAAAGATTTTCCTCATCACATTTTGCAAACCAGGTGCTCTTGAGGACAGATGTAGGAAAATCCCAATTTCGGTGACACAGAGCAGTGGTTTAGGTGGAGCAGGAGTAAAATGCAAAGCTCTGAGAGGTTTCGAGAACTGCAGGAATCCTGTAACACTGGATACTGCGACTCATAGCTAAAAATAATAACCATATTTACAAGAGAAACCAAATGCAAGTTAAATAATAAAATGGTAAAATAAATGGTTTCAGTTCTGTAGCTGACTTCCCCTGCACAGCTACATAGGCAGTCACATCAGCCTGTGTCAGCAAACAGAACATTGAAACTCCTCAGATTACTGTTGCTTGCTTCTTTATTCACATGGGCAAACGCAAAGCTACTAAATTAGGTGGACAGATTTAGGTCTGGTCATTACAAGAATACTACGAATCTATGTACTGTATCTTTTGGGGTGTGTTCATTGAACAAGTAACGTGGCTTTTAAAATTGAAATTTGTTTCCAATGGTAATGATTTATTAGGCTAATCAGATTATATGTGTGGTACTTACAAATCCTGTGCTTTCTTATACAAAGTCATGTGTGGCATAATGTTCCTACTAAGGCAAGAATCCCACTGGCTACAGAATGGAAGGACCTGTTCGATATGGCACCCGTTGCAGACAGCTTTTCTTTACGGTGTAATTAAACATAGAAATATTCAATAAAAGCGCAGATTATTATAAGGTAGATTGAAGAAAAAAATAATTTCAGCATGTGACTTTTGGTTGCCAAAATCAAATTAATAGTCCTCCTAGCTGTATACAAAGTTCAAAAAACCAAATGTTTAATAACCTCAGCATACTTTTCCTTTTAGAAGGCAAACTATTTGCATGAAAACAGTGAGTATGAGAAATATGTCAGTTTTCACTTAGCATGTGCATTCTTTGCATACTGTGCAGCATTTATCAGCGTAAAAGCCTTGCAGACACTTCCTCTGTAGTTTCATGTTGAGAAAACAGGAAAAGCAAAAAGAATGGAATATAGGCTATGGATAAATAATTATGTATTTCATCAGTAAACCTTAAAAAATGTCAGACCATCGTAAGGGTAGAAACTAAGGGTACAAGCTAGACTTGTTCTGACCTGCACTGTTTTTAAGCTGTTCTAAACCTGTTGGGTAAGGAATGACCTTATCAAATGCCCTTTGAAATGAGTGGAAAAAAACTGGGATAAGTATTAATAAAATAATAGATCTTTTGCACATATAACCTAATTCATACAGTGTTACAGCAGGTCTAACTCAGTAGACTTACATCAATTTAACTAGTGTAATGCTGAAGCCTGAAAGTACACAGGACTAAGTTTTTTCAATGTATTTATCACAACTTTTTCTTAGATTTGATTTGAATTGTAGGTGCTGAAGTAATGGACAATTTGAGTTAATCTGTGCATTCTACGGGTGGAAGAAAAACAGCACTGGCTCTTCATCTGTTGTGTGAACTGATACGTAGATACCGTATGTCGTATGATCTACCTGGAGACATGGTCTTTTCAGCAAAGGGGCTGCTAACAATAGTAGGAAAAAATTTATCAGGAAAAAAATTACTATATTTTCCTAAATATCCTATCATCTGTTTTATAGATTAGTGAGGTTCTAGGGACAATGGAAGCAAGGGTTCTGGTTACTCTTCATTACTGTGCGTTGAGTTTGGAGTAAATTCAGCCTAAAAGATAACAAGAATGGAACAATTTTTTATACTGGGTTTTTTTTTTTTCTCTGCAGAAAGCCAGGCCTTCATTTACATGTGAATTTCATGTGAGCCATGTTATAGGGAGTAGAAATTGTCTCACATAAAGGCCAACCACATCATAGTCCTTAGTGACTACAGGGATTATTTTTTATTTAGTTTGGGTGAACATTTTGAAGTTAACAGCTCGTGGGAGCCTCTGAGCTCTGCTTTCTTAGCCATGAAATAGAGGTTTCTTTGTTTTATTTCCTTTGACTGAAATGATTACCTCAGCCTTTGCTTTCATGCTAGTGATTCAAATAAGAAACAAAGGAAATCTTCCTGTACTGTATTTGCAAAAGCTATTCATAGGAAGTATCTCTGATTTAAACATAGCAATTAAATAAATATGTATGCTGGAAAAGATTAAGATCTGTTAGTGTTCTTAGACTGAAGACTCCTGTTTACCTACAGAGTAGGTATTGTGCAAAGAGCTGAAAGAAGAGCTTCCCTTCCCTGACTCACTGTTGACCTTAACCGAGACCGCTCATGTTCAGTGTTTGTAGAGCTGAGATGTTTTCTGTGATCTTTTCACAGAGCTTCTCTGATTCAGAAATTATTAAGCTGTTAAAGAGTAGCTAGCACTCAGGAGCTGAACTGTTATAAGATGAACAATATAATTAAGAAAGCATCGAAACAACAGGCCTGTTATGGGTAATTAATTCTTGCAAGTTAAAGTTTAAGAATCCCTGCAGAAATGTTAGGGAGCATTTTAAAATGTCATGCTTGATCTGATACATTTAGTTAACAGTATGCAAAAGGAATTTGTGAATTTGAAGATTCTGTGAAGGAAATGCAGCATTTTTTTTGTTAACTGTACTCCTGGTCTCTTGCATAATGTAAATTCTTCCAACATTTTTGGAAACTGACTTCAACACCTTCGCATTCTTTCCTTTTAAATAGAAATAGAATTTGAATGTTTTTAAATATACAGGTTTTGCAGTTATAAGTGAAAGCTGAATTTTGCAATCTGGTTGGATATTTTGAAATTCATTTTCTTGTTGCTTGCTGAGTATTTGCTATTTACTGATGAGTTGTTTGTTTTTGTTGATTTACAGGTAACTCTTAATGACACACACAAGTGGTAGATTTTTATGTTCCTTGACTGGGTACATATAAATTTTAGACTTCCCAGTTAAATTCTCACATTTAGAAAGTCAAAATAGTCTTCTAGTATTCTAGCAAATATTTGTAACTTTTTCCCCATTACAGAAGTCAATATCTAAACTAGCCCAAGGGTTATCTGTTCACAAAAGACCTGATTGGAATTTTCTTCATTTCTTGTCTAAGTAGGGCTGGCTTCTCTCTCCATATGTTCATTTTCAGCTGAAATTAGTAATCTGCTGCTTATCTTCCACTATCAGGAGTAAAAGGATTGGATGGGTAGAGATTCTCAGTCCTTTCTGAATGTTGTTCTGGGAGTAAAGCATTGCATATCCTCTCTTACATGGAGTGAAAAAGTAAATACATTATCTAGCTCATGCAGGTAAGAAAAAAGCTTTCAAACAGTACTACAGTTCTCTTGCTTTCATCTAGCATTCTTTTAATTATTTCAAATTCAGTACAATGAAAGAAAACAGCAAAGGACTTAAAAGCACTTGGTATGAATAAATTAAGGCAGATCTGAAAAACAACTAAAGGTTAAAACTCAATCAACTCTGAATGTGGTATGTATACAAACTATTGAACTCAAGTTGATTTCTCTTGCGAGTATTAAATTACAGTGCAGCCCTGAATTGGTCCTTTAGGAAGGAAACAATACATGTAATAGTGTGTTTGATACCAAGAATGCACTATGTATAAGCATGCAAGCATTTGAAAATAAAGCAGAAAATATAAAGGCAGCTAAAAAGGTGGAGAGGGCATCTAGGAGAACAGAAAAAGAATGCGCCACATAATGTTATCTGATTAATGTAGATATGCT